TCTGCTCCTATGATGCTGCTTGGCCTGCTGTGTTCATCCAGCCCTGCACCTTGTTGTCTTGGATTCTCCAGCATCTGCAGTTCCTACTATCTCTGATTCAATTTTGGCCGATAATTGTTAGTTCTTGAGAGAAAAAAATGGTAAGGTATGAAATGTTCATGATGGCTTTTATTTGGCATCCTGACACATAGATAGGTGTCGCCAAACATAGGCAATTGTCAGTGGGACTTATGCAGATACAGTTTGCTCAGGAACTACTGTAAATTAAGAGAATTTTCAGGAGAACAGCTAGCTCAGCATTTCAGTTATTACACCGGAGCCTCCAAAAGGGTTGTTTTCCGAAAGGCAGAGGGTGAGCTCATAGCTATATTCTTTTGGCAGCGTGTATCTGAACTGAATTCCAAACAGTATCCAAACAAATCTTAACTCCAGATAATCATAAACCCAGGCATGTGATTTCTAACAAACAAGTCCCAACAATTAGTGTTGACCAAATGATTGCAAGAAGTGTCTTATAAAAGAAAATCCTAACATTCTTTCAGTGAACCATTTGATTAAAAAAAAGTCATAGTATCTTCTCATTCATTTCAAATGATCCAATATCCACAATCCTTCAAACATAGATGTTCAAATAACAAAAATAATGAAGCACCTGCAACACAATATCAGGAACTTAGGGACAAAGCACAGTTCTCAAATCCTTGATCTGTGATCAGTGGGACTGTTTCGAGGATTCAGAGTACATGCTCTGAAATGCAAACATCTGTGTGAGTAAAACTACTAATTGGCTTTAATTTTTAAAGAAAGTTTTAGCTATGAAACTGGACAATGCATGATCAAGGTACTGTCATCAGATAGATGGAATATGCACTTCATGACTTTTTAATGTATATTTTTAATTCCTCCAGGGATGAGTTTTTATCTTTGCTAAGAACATACAATTGTTTTTGTCAAGATAACAAGAATTTACAACTGACGTATTCTGATGTGAGTATATTTTATGGAACATTCAGATTTCCAGGACTGAATGTTTCTCAATACAACAAAGTATGGAACAAGTTGAGAATATTGAGATTGTCCTATCCATTAAGTTAAGATCATAAGACTTAGGAGCAGAAATAGGCCATTCAGCTCAGCAAGTTGCTCTGCCATTCATGTTTGTTATTCTCATGTGCACTATCATGCCTTTTCCCCTAACCTTCGATTCTCTTTCTGATTAAAAACATATCTATCTCAGCCTCAAATGTACCTAATGACCCAACCTCAACAGTCTTCTGCAATAAAGAGTTCCACAAATTTGCTACCCTCTGAAAGAAGAAATTCCTCCTCATTTCTGTTTTAAATGTGCAACCTCTTAGCTGGAGATTAAATTCTCTGGATTTACAGTTGCACGGAAGGGGAAACAACATTTCCACATCTTCTCTGTCAAGCCCCCTAAGAATCCTGTATATATTTCACCCCTCATTCTTCTAAGTTCCAATGTGTACATGGAGTCATAGAATCCTTACAGTGTGGAAGCAGACCATCAAATCCACACCAACCCTCTAAAGAGCATCCCAACCAGACCTACCCCATCCCTGTAATCCACCCAGCCTGCATATCCCTGGACATTATGGGAAATTTAGCATGGCCAATCCACCTAACCTGGACATATTTGCACTGTGGGAGGAAACCCACAGATACGGAGAGAACGTGCAAACGACACACAGACAGTGACTCAAGGCTGGAATCGAACCCAGGGCCCTGGCACTGTGAGGCAGCAGCACTAATTACTAAGCTACCGTACTGCCCAGCAGTTCAAACCTACTAGACCTCTCCTCAAAGGATCGTCCCTGTCTATCCAGGATCAGCTTAGGGAACTTCCCTGCTCTGCCTCCAATGTCAGTATATCTTTCCTTAGATAAACAGCCCAAAACTGTTTATAGCATTTCAGCTGTGGTTGACTAGTGCCTTGTATAGTTTTAGCAAACCTCCCTGCTTTGCTAGCTTTTTGAAATTCATGGATAAGGACCCCTGGACCTCTCTGTTCCGTACTCTCTGCAGTCTTTCATCATTTAAATAATATTCAACTCTTCTATTCTTCCTGCCAAAGTGCGTAAGTTCACATTTTCCCACATTATAATCCATCTGCCAAGATTCAGACCACTAGCTTAACCTGTCTATATCCCTCCACGGACTCATTGTGTCATCCTTACCACTTGAATTCTCACTTATTTCTGTCATCCATAAACTTGGCTATAGTACATTCATTTTTCCCATACAGGTCATCCATATGTAGTAACTAACTGTAGGGTCAGTAATGATCTCCATGGTGCATCAATAGCTACAGGTTGCCATCCTGAAAATGCTTCATTTATCCCAACTCGCTGTTTTAAATTAGTTAGCTAATCCTTTATCCATGCAAGTATACTAAATCCGACACCATGAACTCTCATTTGATTAAGTTGCTAATGTGGGGTACCTTATCAGACACCTTCTGAAAATCCAAATATGCTACATCCACTGCTTCCCCTTTATCCTGCTGTTACCACCTCAAAAAATTCCAGTAAATGATTCCACTCCTTTATGAAATCACTTGAAGTAGACATCCTGTGTTGTAGCTTCACCACGTTGATGCCTCATTTTTAGGTATGCCTGATACTTCTCCTGGCATGTCCTCCTGCTCTCTTCCTTGAACCAGGGTTGATCCCCAGCTTCATGGTAATCACAGATAGGAGGGATATGCGGGCCATGAAGTTACATATTGTGATTGAATACATTTCTGCTGCTGCGATGGCCCACAGTGGCTCTGGATACCCATTTTGACCTGCTAAACATGTCCTGAAACTATTCCTTGTAGCACAGTGGTAAGTGTGGCACAACATAATGAAGTGAGTTTGAAGATGGCAATGCTCACCGCGTTATCAGAACCCAAACCATTTGTTGGACTTGCTACTCATCTACTGTTGAATTTTTGAAACATTGCCATCACTTTTCAATCTTCCCACACTGTATTCTCAAACCCAGTGAAAAAGGCACAAGTAGGTTAGAGTAAGAAAATGACTTGTCCTCTTGTGGTGACTGGCTGCTACCGAGTCATATATGATTAAACTGTTAGAAATAGTTAAAACCTATGCAAGTGTGAATACCTCAGAGATTCTGATTAGCACCAACACAGGTGAGATGCTGATGATACTAAAGTATATTGTTTGTAGCTGCCCATCTCTGTGGGTCAATGTGCTTACTCATTTTCCCAGAACTGTTACTTGTGCATTTTTTGTTTCCAATGTAATGTTTTATGAAGATGCTTCTCTTGTAATTTGAATATCTCACGATTTTCTTTACAGAATAATGGAAAGGTTATCCTAGAAGGCGTATTAGATATTTCATGGGGTGTGCACCAACTAATAAGATTTCAGATTGATGATGAGAAATCTACACCATCACCAATTGCAATCCAAATTGCTGATACCACAATGAATAAAAGGTAAGCACCCACAGTGATAATGTACAGATACCTATCACTTACTGCATACTTACTGGGCTCATGTGTATATATCCAGATATTAAATGGTAAATTCAACATTCCAGGAAGGAACCTTGCTCCATCAGAGTGCAGGTTGGAAATTTCTAATTACAATGATATATGCTTTAATTGTCATTCTGCTGCCTTCCACCCTGTCCTCAGTCTCTACTCCCTCAGAAACCATCCTTTCAGATTCTAGCCCTGCACAGTCTATTGTCTCAGTCACTAGCCTCTCAAATTCAACTTCTGCATGAACTAGCCCTACAGAATCTACCTTCAGACTTCAGCCCTCAGAAGCTACTGCGTGACTCTACCCTGCACGCTCATTCCCATTAAACTTTTCACTTTGAACAACTCAGACTCTGTCCTTTGCCTAGACCATACACCAGACCCAAAATACTAGCCCCTGACACTATACCATGCCCAAGCCTCTTCTAACCCCCATGCCCACAGACTCTTTTCTTCCCCCACAGACACTCCCCCACAACTGACTGTCTTTCCCCACTGACACCTCCCTTGGCCCCTAATTTCTCATCTCTGTAGGCACTAATTCATCCCTCCACAGAATTTCCTCCTCTCCTCCCAGGTTTTGTCCACCGAATCCCTAGTGCACCCCAATGTCAGAAATGTTGACTCTATCACATCATACTTCGAACCACCTGAGGATAAGAAAGTGCACAAATCTTTCGTTGAGGCAGAATATTGAATCCACAGGAATCATTTGATTCAATCATCTGTAAGGGGTACTGTCAAAAGCTAATTTACTGCCCTGTCACTGTGCTCCCTGAGCACCGATTCCCTGAATCAATTCAGTTCACGTAATGCTCCCACAATGGTGTTATAAAATCATAGAATGGTTACAGCACAGTCCATCTTGTCTGCATTGGCTCTCTGAAGCATTATATTGTGCCAATCTCCTGTGTCCCACAGCCTTGCAAACATTTCTTTTTCAGACTTTGTTTCAATTCAATTTTGAAAGCCTCAACTGATTCTGCCTTCATCACTCTTTAAAACAGTTTATTCCAGTTCCTAATCACTTTCTACATGAAAAGATTTTTTCCTTATGTAGCCCTGTTCCTTTAGTCAATTATTTTAAATCTGTGCCATCTGGTTCTCTGTCCTTCCACCAATGGGAACAGTTTCTCCCCAATAACCCACAACTCTCAATTTTTAATACCTCTATTAAATCTCCTCTTAGCCTTTTCTTCTCTAAGGAGAACAGACCCAAGTTTTCCGATTCTGCGACATAACTGCAGTTTCTCAACCCAGGAAACCTCAAGACTCTTTTCTGTAATCCCTCTAATATCTTTATATTCTTCCTAAAGTGTGGTGCCTTGAACTGGATACCATATTCTAATTGAAACCAAAACGTGTTTTATATATATTATGATCAGAGGATAAATCCCAAAGAAAACTGAACTCTCTTTTTCTTTGTGTTTAAATTCTGTTTCTTTTAAAAATGGACAACTTTGCTGAGCTTATAAAATGCTGAGGCTGATTGTACGATCAGAAGCTTCTTAGACCCATTTCATTGTATAGGACTGCAGGTAAAGCTGACACAAAGAACAAAGCTGTCTGCTTCCAGCCAATTCTGGAGAAAGGATAACATCAAGACGCATTATGCTAAAATGAATGCCAATGCTTTTACAGTTATCATGTCACCTCATAATGGAAACGTTAATTGAGCAGATAAAGCTGTACTGTTCACTTAATTGCCTTCCAGTTTGCCCACTGTGAAGGGTACTCAGTGTCTGAAATGTCTGTCTTTGTCACTTGCTGAACTCCTAAATATACAATCCTGGAAATCTAAGTCAGTTGTCACCCTAACATCATGAGGAGAGTAGCTCCAGGCCTTAGCAGCTCGAAGGCCCACAGTACATCTCTGTCTCTCTCAAAAATCTCATTTCTAGAAAGAATCTTCAATTTCACCAGTCAAACTGGACTCATTTACGTTGCAGAAGAAACATTGCTGCATCCTTGATGCCCATCCATTGGCATCCCAGCTCCCCAAAAGAATGCTATAAGGTCTGATAGACTCCCAACTGGACATTAAGTCACAATAACTAATACCACCAATTCCGATTTAAGGAATTCATATGTTGCAACTCAAATCCTTCTGTTTTTCCTTTTTTTGTAACTTGTGCATGAATGATGTAACGAAGCAATTTCCTGCATTTTTGTAACTACTCTAATGTACATATATTTTCACTGTATGTATATGTTAAGAGAAAAAAAAGGTATTGTAATATTACTTTAAGAGGGAGCAAGTAACCAGCATGGAATACATGTAGCCATCAGCCATTGCATTGTCAAGCTCATAGCTCACTGTGAGAGAGTTGCAGCTGTTTGATCCTGTAACCTTTATTCTTCATCTATTTTGGTAAACACAGAACCTACGTTTGGTTTATCAGAGATAGTAGGAACTGCAGATGCTGGAGAATCTGAGATAACAAGGTGTAGAGCTGGATGAACACAGCAGGGCAAGCAGCATCAGAGGAGCAGGAAGGTGATGTTTCGAGCCTAGACCCTTCTTCAGAAATCAGTCCTTGTGTGAGATTGGTGAACTAGTGTTTAGGAAATATTGAATTGCAGCAGTAACACTCAACAGCTCACCCCTCAGTCTCAGCTATCAATCCATTCCCTTCTTATTCAAGCGCAGGAGATGCAACATCGACACTTGTACCTTCTTCTCACCCTTAAGCCCCAAAACACTCTTTCCTGGTTATTGAAAACCAGAGGTTAAAATGCTGGCTAAATAGAGTTTAGTCATAGAATTTCCTAGTCAGAGTTTTATTTCAAGTTCACCCACAACAAACTCCAACAACATTGATTACTTGATATAAAGAAAGAAATTTTAGTGAATCTCAACAGCTTCTGTGGGAAAAACTCAGGCATTGTGATGAAAAGTCACCAGACTCGACATGTTAAGTCTTCTTTCTCTACACAGGTCCTGCCAGATCTGTTGAATTTCACTGGCAATTTCTGTTGTTGTTTCCAATCTCCAACATCTGCAGTTATTTATTTTGTTTTACTGATTACTTGCTCCCCATTTTCATAAACCCAGTACTTTCCTAATTTCCATGAATTAATATATAACCATCACCATCACCTGTTCCCTTGTTAGATTAGGTGTCAGGCATCCCTACAGACTCTGCTGCAATGATTCCCATCTTTCTTTTTTTAATCAATATATACAATAATAATGAAAAGCAAACAAAGTGAAAAAGATAAAATTAAAATGTTACGCAAAATAACATTTTTTTCGGTTCTACAGAAGGGTTTGCTGGACCTGAAACATTGGCTCTGCTTTCTCTGCACTGATGCTGCCAGACCTGCTGAGCTTTTTCAGCAATTGCTATTTTTGTTTCAGATTTCCAGAACTGACAGTACTTTGTTTTACTATATTCCTGCTTCTCTATTTTTTAAAAAGTGTGTATTAAAGTTCCAAACATCCTTTTTCTAGAATTTTTACTACTCCCCTAGAGTCTGCTTTTTTCCTTCTTAAAGAAATCAGATAGTTGACTGCTACTATCTAGCCATTTCATTTTGGAGATTTCTCTGTTCTCTAGCTTTTGTTTTAAAACTGTAATATTGATCCTCAATCTCTTTTCATTGATGATAAGTCACTAAAAGATGGCATACATTTAATGAATTGCTGTTAAATACCTTTTTCAAAATGTTTTCAATAATTTCATGCAGAAAAATGCCATATACACTACCTTAACTATAGTCAGAGTCCCTGCTGTTAAGATTATTTTACGAATGCTCTTATCTTTTTAGCTTCCCAAGCAAAGGCCCAGCATTTACCTCCTTCTCCCAAAAGAAAAATGAGAAACCCTCTTGCACTTGAGAACTCATTACAATGGTTTACATAAGAAGCATCACTAAAAGCAAGAAGTTTCATGTTCCTGATGTAAGAACATAAGAAATAGGAGAAATATGTTATTCGGTATCTCAAGCCTGCCCCACCATTCAACAAGATCATTGTTGATCTGCCCCAGCCCTCAGCTCCAGTTTCATGCCAGCTCATCATAGCCTCATCTTCCAGATATGTCAAAAATCTTTCCATCTTTTCTTGCCAGTCTCTATAATTCTCTGGGTTAAACTGAATATGTGCCAAATATTCATAAACTCAGTTCTTGCTCATCCCTAAATTAAGATATTACCATCACTTGTTCCTTTGTTCCATTAGGTCTCAGGTATCCCTGCCAGACCCTATTAAATGATAATATTGTTGAAACAGGAATATATTTATACTTACTTCAAGTTAGTACACTATAGTTACAGGACATAATGTGTTCTCCTCTGCTTTAGATAACAAATACAAATTGGGTGACTGCTTTGAAAAAGATCTCCTTTCAGTCTGCAAGTGTGACCCCGAGTTTCTATTTGCCTGTCTTTTTATTGCTTCACTGCACATTGAGTCCGACCTCTCTGTTCTTAGTTTATGATACTATTTTAATGAAGCTCAAGTAAGATCAAGAAGCAATACCTCATCCTTCAATTAGAGACTTTTCAATCTAACAGACTCACCTTCAGATCAGCTTATCAATTATTTTTCTATTTTTGTGTTTATTTTCAGTTTTATGTTTTTTTTGGATGACAGCTCTGTGATAATTCAGCTGATCCCATTTAAATCTTCTTTAGATAATTTTTAATTTGTCATATTACCATTTCTTTGCAGTATACAATCATCTATTTTGTCATTTAATTTCTTCTGCACTATTACAAGTCTTTCCTTTCAATTTCACTTTTCAACCCAATTGGCTCTGTTTTCACTTAAAATCTATTATATCTCTATCTTTTTTCTATTTTTGATGAAGGATCTCTGACTTAAACTTTTTTCTCCGCAAAAGCTACTAGGTCTGTTGATTATTTTCAGCATTTTCTGAATTTAAGTTTTTGAATAAATTAACTTGTATTTGCAGAGGAATGACACGCTGGGGAGAGTTTGACAACTTGTACAACATTGCTGAACTGGAAGAAGAAACTATGCCAGAAGGCAAGGAACAAGGGCCAATCCGGCAGCTAGGTAAGTTTCTCAGAGACTGGGAGAGTGGATAAATGATTGAACATGTTTTGGAATTAACAGTGACATTAAATATTGAAAGACTATTGTAGAGTAAAGGATTATATGTACTAATTCTCTGACAATAGCTACTGGGCGTGTGCATGAGGAACTATGCACACAATTCTGGTATTCCCAGCATTTTCTGTTTTGTTTTTAATAAACAGAAGCATGTTTCAAACTGCAGTAGCAGTAAAGATGCTTCTTGGATTTTACGCAGTCCTGTGATCTGGGCAGGGAATTGCAGATCAACAATGCCTGATTTTCTATTCAGCTGCAAAATCAGTCCAATTATCTAAGGTCATATTGCTATATAGAGTGAGAACGAACCAGCTTCAATGCTGAATAGTATCCAAAATGGATTTTAGTTTGTTATTTTCTTCCCCTCTTACAACCTTTTAGTCTTTGAAAGCAGTACGTTAAAACCAAAACGGAACCCAGAGCCAGAAAGTGGCAACTTAATACGTACCAGAAGTGATGCATCACTGGTGAAGATGAGGGTTAAGGACCAAGCAGTGACTGCAGCAAAGAAAGCGCAGCGTCAGCGGTTTTCCATTAACGGTCACTTCTACAATTACAAGGTAAAAAGTCAGAGTCCATTTCCTTGCTTTGAAATATAACATGTTCAACTTGTCTGTAAAATCTAATGCATGAATAGCACTCAGTATCACTAGTGCCCGATGTGCTTCAGCTGTTCAATAAAAATTAAAAGGTAGAAATAGATCAGTGACTTGAATTCAATCGCCACGCCAGAACTTCAGCACGTAGGCTATCATGTTTCCCTCCTTGAAGGTGGTGGGGAAGGTGGTAGGAAAGGCAAATAATTGGGTAAGTTGGCCCAGAGAGATATTGCCTCCTTGGCAATTAAGTTCTGGCGACTATTTCTTTCTCTGTTTCTGCCTCCCCACTCCACCACCACCACCACCACTAATTAAGGTCCTCAACCAATCCCAGTTCAATTATGTGCCTACTTGGCGGGTGAGAAAAGTGGCTGGCTGCTTCTCAATAGGAAAATAAGAATGGCCTGAATGCATGATTGGCATAGACGCTCTATTTGCCCCAATCCCCATCTCTGTCTCAGCTTCCACCCAAAAAAGTCCGACAGTCCCAGAGTGGGACTTCAGTGGCGAGGTTCCTGATTGGACAGGGAGCTCACTGGACTGCACTTAAAAATCTGAAATAAAAGTAGTACAGAAACTCAGCAGGCCTGGTAGCAGCTCTGGAGAGAAAGCAGAGTTAACGTTTTGAGTCAAGTATGATTCTTCTTTAGAACTGGTATTTAACTACCTAATCACTGCTTGATCCAATGAGCTTTCTTGCTAGTAGGGGTTAGGAGTTAATCGTACCCGAAGTCACGGGCACATTTCAATTAGTGAACTGCAGATCAAATCTTGGACATATTTTAATTTAACATTTCTGTGAGAGAATGCTGCATTGTCTTTTCAGGTGGATACAAAAGATCCCATAGTAATATACAAAGAAAAGCAAGGTGATCCCCCACTATTCTGTTATTCCTGGTTTGCTGGTTATCTTGCTTCCTATTTGTAGGACCTTGATGTGTACAAATTGACAGTGTCTTTTCATGCATCACAACCATGACTAAACTTTAAAAGTATTTTCTTGGCTGTGAAGCACTTTGGGATGTCCTGAACATGTACTGAACAGAAATCTTTCTTTACTCTCAGTGGAAAATCATCAGAATCAAGCAATGGGGCATGATTATGTAAATAATGAACGTGCTTGTTAGAAAGCATGGAGTTGCTGTCCACAGTTCTCCGGTAGCGTGCTTGCATGCTCCTATAACACACACCTGCTCAGCAGTTGTCAAGTCCACCAACAGGCACTGTCAGTGAGCTTTGGAAGAAGCCTTAAGACATTGATACCAACAGGTAGCAAGCTGTAGTGTGGTGTAATCAAAGTGCATGGAATGCGAATAGAAATTGTACAACAAATCAACTTTCACTGCTCCTGTTAACCTGGGTAGAATCAATCTCAGAATGAAGCAACAGTGCTATCACCTAGTGAAAGTGAAGGGTCTTCTGAAACTTTATGAAGGTGTAATAAACTCTGATAACTCTGATAAAAGTGGCAACAGCACGATTATACCCTGATTTGTGTGTAGCAAAGGCAGCAGAGATTAACAATGACAATTACAAAGAAAATTCCTCATGTGAGGTGTACTTCCTACACACCAGTATCACTGTCATCAGCAGAACGTGAAATGTAACTGACACTTTCTATTTGGTGTGTCACTTTTTAATTCATTCACATGATGTGGTTTTCACTGGCTAGAATGGTATTTATTGCCCATCCCTAGTTACTGTTGAACTGAGTGGCTGGGTAAACCAGTTCATGGTCTACCACATTGCTGTGGATCTGGAGGCACATGCAGACTAGATCTGGTACAGTTGGCAGATACGTTCCCAAGGAACATTAGTGAATTATATTGGTTGTTACAACAAACAACAATGGTGACATGATCGCTATTAGGCCAGATTTTAATTCCAGATTTTTTTTTTAAAAATTGAAATCAAATTTCACCATTTGCCATGTTGGGATTCCAATACATGTCCCCAAAAAATTAGCTGGATTACTAGGATCTTGCTTGTTACTGTGTTAGACCCACTTGATTCACAAATGTGATGAATGTAATATGGGTAAAGGGGAAGTTGAGTCTAAGAGACTTTTTATAAAACTAATCACATGAGCAGGGACTCTCAGTTGTTGTGTTATGAAGGCTGAATTTCACAGGTGCCAACATATCACACATGGGTGAAAAAATTAGGAGCAAACTCACCCTGCTTTGGTGGGTTGCCCATCTGATGCTTGGAAAGGTCTAAGGCAGCATCCAACCCTATCTCCAACCTAAAATCCTGGCTTGGAGAGCTACTGATAAGGTATGTTTCCAAATAGCTCTCCAGTCTTTGAGCAGCCCTGGGAGCTAACACCTTCACTTCTTTGTAGCAGCAAATTACTGCAGATGCTGGAATCTGTACTGAAAACAACAAATGCTGGAGATCACAGCAGGTCAGACCGCATCCATGGAGAGAGAGAAGCTAAAATTTCGAGTCTAGATGACTCTTCATCAGAGCTGAAGTGAAGCGTGGAGGGGGCAGCATTTATGCTATGGTTGGGGGGTTGTGGGGGTGGTGCGATGTAAAGTGCTGGTGGACAAGAGATGTTGGTAGTTCAGATTAAGTGATCGGAATGTAAGAATGACAGGGCAATGGTGTGCCTAACCACCGAATTTGAAACAGCAGACTGTCCCACTGGGATGGGAGGAGGGGAGAGAGTAAAGTTAAAAGAAAGGGAAGAAATGGGAGAATGTGCTAAGCATCTCAGGCCTAGGTCATCACTGCTAGAGTTCCTCAGGTTAGATATTTTTAATCAACCTATTCAGATGTGTTATGACACACCTCTGTAGCAGCTGGGACTTGAAGCATGGTCTCCTGGTTCAGAGGTAGGGACACTACTATGGCTCCACAAGAGTCTTCGTTCCTCAGACTAATATCTTAGACCAAACCATCTTCAGCTGCTTCATCAATGACCTTCCCTTCCAAATAAGGCAAGAAGGGGGAATGTTTGCTGATCATTGTACCATGTTCAGTACCTTTTGAGACACTGAAACAATCTACGCTCACATGCAGTAAACCTAGATAAAATTTAGACTGCAAATAACATCTGTGCGGCATAGCTGCCAGTATTGACTGTCACTAACAAAGGAGAATCTAAATATCTATCTTTCTTTGATGTTCAACAGTATTTATCATCACTGAATTTCCATTGTCAACATTCTAGGAGTTACCACTGACTGGAAAGTTAACAGGACCAGCAATTTAAATACTGCAGCTACAAGAGAAGATCAGAGGCTATAAATTCTAGGCACATAACACACCTCCCGACTCGCCAAAGCCTTCCAAAGCCACAAACACCACCACCTTGTAGATGTGGCCAATAGATGCATTGGAACACCACCATCTACAAAGCTCCCTCTATATCATACATCAGGCTGATTTGGAACTATAACCACCCTTCCTTCACTGTCACTGGGTCAAAATCCTAGAATTCTCTCCCTAATAGCATTTTGGGTGTAACTACACCACAGCAGTTCAAGAAGAGATCTCAGCATCATCATCTTAAAGACATTTAGGGATTGGAAATAAATGCCAGCCTTTCCAGAAACACCCACATTCCATTAACAAATAAACATACCATTTCAACTCCCCCTCCCATTCCTCAGACGACATGTCCATCCTGGGCCTCCTGCAGTGCCACAACGATGCCACCCGAAGGTTGCAGGAACAGCAACTCATATTCCGCTTGGGAACCCTGCAGCCCAATAGTATCAATGTGGATTTCACAAGTTTCAAAATCTCTCCTCCCCCTACCGCATCCCAAAACCAGTCCAGCTCGTCCCTGCCTCCCTAACCTGTTCTTCCTCCCACCTATTCCCTCCTCCCACCTCAAGCTGCACCTCCATCTCCTACTGACTAACCTCATCCCACCCCCTTGACCTGTCCGTCCTCCCTGGACTGACCAATCCCCTCCCTAACTCCCCACCTACACTCACCTTTACTGGCCCCATCCACGCCTCTTCGACCTGTTTGTTTCCTCTCCACCTATCCTCTCCTCTATCCATCTTCTATCCGCCTCCCACTCTCTCCCTATTTATTTCAGAACCCCCTTCCCCTCCCCCTTTTCTGATGAAGGGTCTAGGCCTGAAACGTCAGCCTCTCTGCTCCTATGATGCTGCTTGGCCTGCTGTGTTCATCCAGCCCTGCACCTTGTTGTCTCGGATTCACCAGCATCTGCAGTTCCAACTATCTCTGATTCAACATACCAACCTTCTCTACCCTGAACCTCTCACTGATAACAGACCCAAATTGCTGTACCCTGCTCCTGCCTCAAGTAATAGATACAATCTTACATCCACCTCAATTCTGAGTTAAGAGACTCAACTTCACCTAAGTCTCCCAAAAGGCTATAGGCCCAACTTCTGGCACACTATCAACAAAGGCAATAGACAGAAACTAATGCATTCCTTCCTGATTCTATTACACTTACATTATTGGCATGAGATCAAACCAAATCTTTAACCATGCAGAGATAGCAGGAACTGCAGATGCTGGAGAATCTGAGATAACAAGGTGTAGAGCTGAAGAAGGATCTAGGCCCGAAATGTCAGCCTTCCTGCTCCTCTGATGCTGCTTGGCCTGCTGTGTTCATCCAGCTCTATACCTTGTTATCTTTAACCATGCATTTTGGATAAAAATGAAATGTTTTTCTTTCTAATTTTTCCATTCAATGAAAATTCATTGAAATTCAAATTAACCTATTTGCTTTTTACACTGGTTCTAGAGCTGACTTTAACTAATACCCTTTCATTTTAATCCCAAGCAAGAATTTCTGTCTGTATCTGATAGTCTATCTGATTGGACTTTGAAATGTTTATCTACTCTTCATAATCAAATTTAGTTGTTAAAAAATGCCACTGGTTAGGGGTCTCCACAGAATTTACCTTCAGCGCTTACTTGACAAACTAAAATTTAGACATTTTTCATGGATACCTGCCCCCGATTAC